TGCCGTGACATTTTTGTCTGGATTAACCACACGCAGATTGATTCGATCACGCCTGAAAAAAAAAAAATGTTGAAATTGTTGAAAACTGCTACTCAGTGTGTGTGGCGCTGGCTTTGCTGCGACAAATTGGCGCGGAAATGAGGCTAGCAAAAGGACCGGACAACCAGTTTTCCTGGAAGTATCTGTAAAACTTGCGGCATTGCAAAAACCTTGAAATATAATTCGAATTTCAAAATAGCCAATTTTTGGGTTGCATATATGGCTCTGTTTTTCCGTGTTTAGTCGCTTAAAGGATAAAACATAAGCTGCTTTACGTTTTGTTCACTGGTAAACACAACACCGAGATCCAATATTGTCCTCCTACTGAAGCGATGCGCTTGCTATTACGAGTACGAACTTCTGTGGTAAGCTGTTGCAGCTGTCCAATAAGTTCATGCATCAATAAACATGGGTTATGGTCTCTTGACCAGCCCATAGCATGGTGGTCCTGTATTTATAATTTTAGTTCATAAATGGTCACATTCATCCAAAAAACAGAAAATTTCGTTTGGGCCATTCATGACGTTTAGCTTGAAGAGTCAAAATTTTAGAATTCTGTGTTTTTGATTCATATCACTCATACAATCCAGCCCGAATATGGAATTAAATTTACATGTCAAAATCTCTGAAAGTCAAGTTTAATAGATTTTAAGTTGCGCTACGTGGGTGAATTTAATCCTCAGGATTTTTACTCGCCAATTTCTTAGTTATCCAATCATGCAAATGACTCTAACCCAGGTCTGAAGTGTAACCAGGGCGCAGAATATCCTGAATTATATTTCAGCTTCATCATTCTGCACACATTCTTGAACTATATTTCCAAAATTTTAGCTTCCTGACTCCTAATTCCTGATTTAAACAAGCAGATGCGCCCGGAGAATGGCCTTACCAAGAACAAGCAAAAATTAAATGAAAAGTAAAATAATCCATTACACCTTTGCAAAACCGCTAGTAGCACTTCCACCAACATATCCTAAAAGTAATTCCTCCTCTCCCCCGAATCCTTACAGTGATAATGGCGCAAGAGTGGAATGATTTTACTTTCTGAAAAAAAAAAAAAA